TTTGTTCTATTTCTTTAAAAAAAATACCATTGGGTCAGCTGGTGTTGCTCAGTGGTTGTGTGTAGACCTATGCACTAGGAAGGAGATCACAGTTGGATTGCCGGTCAGGACACATGCCTGGTTGTAGGCTCGATCCCCAGTAGGGTCGTGCAGGAAGCAGCGGATCAATGATTCTCTCATCAATGATGTATGTATCTCCCTCGCCCTCTCCCTTCCTCTGTGAAATCAATAAAAAAATAAAACAATTAAAAAAAATAAACATCAATGATAAAAAAATTTTTGCACGCCCTCTACTGGGGCTCAAGCCTGCAACCCAGGCATGTGCCCTGGAATCAAACTGTGACCTTCTGGTTCATAGGTCAACGCTCAACCACTGAGGCATGCCAGGCAGGCTGCCCATTTTTTAATAGAATTTCTTTTAACCATCATTGTCTTTTAATTAGTCTATTTAATTCCATTGCTGTTACTGCTGTATTTGAGTTTAAAACGATAATATTATTATTGCTTTCCTCTTTTTATATATCTTTTATATTGTGTTTTCTCTCTGACTTTCTGTCTGCTTGTTAGATTAAGTATTTTTAATTATACATACCATCTTACCATTTTTTAGCGCAACAGTTTCTTGGCCTTTTACTACTTTTTTATTGGTTATCCTGGAAACATTTACATTCATCCTAAGCTTATTAAATTGTAATACAAATCAGTATTTACCACTTCATGCTAGTGCAATGATTCTAGAAGGCTTTGTCAAAAATAATGTAAATGTAGTTATTCTAAAATGGAGCTAGACCTGCCACACCAGAGGAACTGCCTTGCATATCTCATGGCTCAAACCTTGGAATGTTAAAACATGGCACAATTACTCTGGGGCTAAGCTCTGAAGCAATATTGTTTTAAAAAGAACTTTTTGCAGGAACAAGAAGAAAGCAGACATTATGACTAAAGAACTGAAGGCTTCTGGACTGAAAATTAAAAACACTGTTTAAAATTAACACCACTATGTTAGCTTATCTGGACCAATCAAAATGCTTTCCTTCTATTGATGTAATTGCTCCTCTCCCTTTCTCATAAATACCCCTTTTCTTTGTCTCTTAATTAAAATGCTGTTTGGGCTTCTATTGGAATCAGTGATTTCCTAGTAGCTATTCTTTTCTAATTTGCATCAAAGAAATGCTTATTGCTGCTCACTTTGAAAGGCCTTTTAATTTAGTTTGGAACTTTAACTCCATTTATACCTTTCCTGACTTATATGCTGCAGTTGCCATATATTTTGTTTTATATAGTAAATAAAACATTTTAAATAAATTTGAAGGTAAATTTATCTAATACAGTAAATATTTATTTATATTTATTTACTCTTTCTATTGTTCAACTTTGCTGTTAGGGTTGGGTGCTAGCAATGTCAGTTGACCTTAATCAAATCAGAAATTACAATTATTCAAGTTTGGATTTCAATCCCTATGATGGCTACTCTATTTTTCCCTGTCTGATTCACTTTTTCTTTCACGGTATAGGGCTTTAGAATGTAAGGGTTTAGGGTTATAACCTAAAGTTTGTGGGTTTACCAGGGCTTTTCTTACTGTGTAGGCCCTGGATTCCAACATTTGTCTTGGTCTAATGATTCTGTGGATGGTTCTGCTCACCCTCTCATCTCCTCAGGCACCAGTTTTGGAATTAGCAGATGCCTGTAGGTGAAGAAAATGTGGTTCCAAATGCAGGCGTGGTTCCATCTCTCAGAGCTTCTTACCTTTCCTGGATTAAGGCACTCGAATTCCTTAGCATCTTGGCAGTTCTCAGATGTCCTCACACAAATGAAATTTTTCAAAATCTATTTTTACTAGTTGTTCACAGCCAGCTACTTTCCCCTTAAACAATCTAATCTATCAATGTTAGAATTAAAATTTTAGTGTAATTTTAAAAAATCAATAAAACTGGTTAAGATCATGACCTTGCAAGTTCAAAAGTTTATTCAGTAATGAATGGTGGAAACATTAACCTGTGACATTAGTGCATTTAGGCATCATTACAAGGGAGACATTTATTTCCTTAAGTCACAGAGATCATACGTGATGATAATGCTGTTGATAACGGTGTTGGTGGTTGTGTTTGTAATGATTCTAGTACTAGGAGATAATAATTTTTTAATGTTTGGGGTGTGTGTGTGTGTGTGTGTGTGTTTTCATACTCCTCATTCAGTTCTCACAATAACCCCATGAGAAAAGTGGTATAATTATTCTCATTTCACAGATGTGGATGACAGACAGAATCATAAAATGTATTCAAGTTATATCTACAAAGAGCCAGATAGCCTAGTCATATTCTTGTTTTATTTAGTGTCTTCCAAGGAAAAGAACTTAGAATATTTTTATACAGTATTAGGACAGGGGAAGAGATGGCTTTAGAGCTTGAATCTGTGACTCAGCGTGGAGAACTGATTCATAAAGAAAAGTTAGGGAAATGAATAAACAGAGGCACAAGTAGTCACCAACACGGGTAGGAGAAGAGGTGATAGCAGGTATCTGAAATCTTAGTAAAACCCAGAATGTAAGATAGGTATATCTAAGTTTACACAAATATAAGAAAATGGTGAATAAATTAACAAGTGTGGGAAAAAAGGACCCATCTTCCGTACATAAAAATTGCAACTAATCTACGTAGATGCTCTCCTTCCAGGAGGTGAAACTTGACTCACTCCCTTTGAGTTGGGATGGACTTAGTGTCTCACTTCCACTGAAGAGCGTGGAGAGGTAAAATAGTAACTTTACTGTTTTTAAAAAAATCAACTGGCAGACACAACCTTAACCAAAAGATCAAGGATAAAATTGGCATTCATAAGTCATGTCACTATCATGTGCCCCAGCTATGACATGAGAGATGCCATGACACAATGAGAAGCGCATGTCACCTCTGTGGTATTTCCCCCCCTCAAACCCACAACCCCAAACTCATCCTGAAAAATGCATCAGACAAACCCAAAGTGAGAAAAATTCTATGTAATATCTAACCAGTACTCTGAAATGATCAAGTTCACGAAAGCAAGAACAGACTGAGAAGCTGTTCAGATCAGAGAAGATTAAGAAGTAATGATAAATAAATGAAATGTAATAACCTGAATTGAAACTTTGAACCGGAATTAAAAATTAGTGAAAAACCTGGTGAAATCTGGAAAAAAATCTGTACTTTAGCTAATGATCAAATGTTCATTTCTTAATTTTGGCAAATTTGCCAGTTACATAAAATGTTAACTTTAGGGGAAAACCAGGTAAAGGCAAATGGAAACTCTATACTTATCATCAAACCTTTTCATTAAGTCTAAAATTATTTTAAAATAAAGTATTTATTTTTAAAACGTCCTTGTAAGACTTTGTAAAAAATCATGTAAATGTAGTTATTTTACAATGGGGCTAGACCTGCCATCCCAGAGGAACTGCCTTGCGTATCTTATGGCTCAAACCTTGGAATGTTAAAACATGGCACAATTACTCTGGGGCTAAGCCTGAAGCAATATTGTTTTTAAAAAGAACTTTTTGCAGGAACAAGAAGAAAGCAGATATTATGACTAAAGAACTGATGGCTTCTGGACTGAAAATTAAAAACACTGTTTAAAATTAACACCACTATGTTTGCTTATCTGCTAACAGATTAAGGTTAGTTGTTATTCTTTGTAAACTAAGAATAACTGATAATATTTGGAGTATGACCAATTGGAATAAAAATTTAATTAGAAATAGATGGAAACATGTTGACTTAATTGAAATGAGAAATATAAAGCCTGAAATTTAGTATTAAATCTATTACTCAAATATCTGCCATTGGAAAACTTCAAAAATCCATTGAAGTTTTTTTTTTTAATATATTTTATTGATTTTTTACAGAGAGGAAGGGAGAGGGATAGAGAGTTAGAAACATCGATGAGAGAGATCGATCAGCTGCCTCCTGCATGCCCCCCACTGGGGATGTGCCCACAACCAGGGTACACGCCCTTGACCAGAATCAAACCTGGGACCCTTGAGTCCACAGGCCGACACTCTATCCACTGAGCCAAACCGGTTCAGCCCATTGAAGTTTTTGTAATTGAAAACCTTCATAACGTAGGAAATGGCAAGTATTCTGGATGGAGATCATCAGAAAAGTGACATTTGGGTTAATAAAAACAGCCTTATGCAATAGCCACTCCATCTTCTGTTGCACTTTCCTAATAGTGCAGGGAATAAAGACAGTAACCTTTAGCCATAGAATATAAGATGTCATAGACTGGGTAGCTGGATGAAGAAGGGTAGAATGCTGTGGCGATAAGTTCTCCAGACTTTCTAAATGCAGCACTGCAGTCACATTCAAGAGTGTCAAGGGTTCTGGCTTGGGATAAGCAGTGTCTGTCTTCAGGATTCAGATATGAGGGGTAGCTCAGCCTGCTTTGTGGGCTGGACATTTGAGTCAGAGAAAGCAATAGCGATAGAGATAAAAACTGAAAGTTATTATTGATTCCTCTTTCCAAATTTAATTAAATAATTAATCAATTCGATTAAATCCTGCACTGGACAGCACGTAATAGAACATTCCCATAGTAGTTCTACTAGACAGCACTGCTATAAGGTATGGTTAGCATAACTTAAAATTATTTTTAAAAAAATATATTTTTATTGATTTCAGAGAGGAAGGAAGAGGGAGGGAGAGAAACGTCAATGATGAGAGAGAATCATTGATCGACTGCCTCCTGCATGCCCCGCACTGGGGATCCAGCCCACAACCCAGGCATGTATCCTGACTGTAATCAAACCGTGACCTCCTGGTTCATAGGTCGACATTGAACCACTGAGCCATGCCAGCCAGGCATACCTTAAAATTCTTTAAGGTACATAATGAAATGTAACTAAAACTGAGGAACAAGACAGGATTTCTATTTGAATTTAGCACTTTAAGGGCATCAGAGCTTATATAATACTTTCAAGCATTCGGGCCCAGTTTATGGCAATAGCCATGATTATAACAATACATTACAGGTGGTGACTGAGGGCATGGGAGATAAGACTAAGAACTTTCACACAGGTTTTCAAAAGTGGGAGCTAAATAGACGCATTGGTGAGTCTATAAAAGAAACACAATTATTTGAGGAATTTGAAGGTAATGAAATTAAGAGGGATGAGCAATGATTAGAGAAATGTGGATTGATGCTACCAGAGACATTTTTGTATCCTTTACTGTAATTATTTGAGTCAGCATTGACTTCATAAGTTCACATGAATAAAGTTATCTAAAGGGAAATCAATTCAGAAAAGAATGAGACCTCAGAGAGAAATTATTACATTTAAAATTTGATTTGGAGGGGGAAAAGCTGGAGTATAAAAACCTCCTAAAAATTAACCATAAGAAGGAGTTGGCTGTGTGGTCAGAGTTGAAAGATTAAGTAATTGCTGAGTAAATGAATGAGACTGAGGAAAGGCCCAATTGCGTGATTTTATAGGACAGCGTGGGCACTGACCTTCCTTAAGACATATGATGAAAAAGCAACCTGTTCAAATTGAAAGATGAAATTTTATACTATATGAAACTTTATTTGGCAATTGAATGTTTATAGATATAATTATTATAGATCTAATGCCATTTTACAACTTCTGTTAACATTTTATTAAATTGGCATTGTTTATTTTAATATCATTAATGTTGTAAATCAGACTTCTTTGAAAGAAATACAAGAAGGTCATCAGATGATTACAAATGTTTCAATAATAGCAGATGAAACATTTTCGTACATCTATATAAATTAATTAAAAATATGATTTTAAATTAATTCTAGGTGGTATTCCCTCATCATTTTCTTGGGGATTTAATTTGTCTAAAGCACATCTTATAATATGTTTCCAGGGAATTTTTCACTGTTGGCAGGAAGTTTAACAAAGGGGATCTGTGAGTATGACTATGGGACTACTCCCAATGAAACACATAAGAAGGGGAATTTCTTCTTAAAAGAGACCTAGCCACAAAGAATGAGTATTTTTAGTAAAAAAAAAATGGTGATTAAGAACTAATACAATTTTGTCAAGCTAGAAATAAATAAATTAATGTTATATATTCTTTCCTTTGGAATTTGTCTTCTGCATGATTTTAATTTAGAAGGAATTTCACTAATGATTTTGTTGAGTGTTGTTGGTTGTCATCAGAAATTTATTTCTACTTTACCCAGTTCATTGCTGTGACTTGTGAATTTGATTGCCTCAAAATAGAAAAATGGTGTTTGGTTATTTTTACCCACATAATAGAGCAATTTTTTTGTGGAGTAATAAAATTATTTTATTCATTAAATTTTGTTTGTTTTATTTTGTAAATGATTCTAAACTTTCTCAAATTAGTACAATTACTTGTAACATTGATGTTTGGCATATGTCATTTTAATCTCTTGACTATTAAATTTTTTTAGGTTGGTATATATTCTCTTCACTATCTATTCTTGTCTATAGTCCATAATGGTATTATAAAACCAAGATAGATTTATAGAACAATTTATAGCTGAAAATTTATTTGTGAAGAAGAATAAATGTTGAAAATAAATGACCTAGAATTCACTCTGAAAGCAAGTAAAAAACACCACCACCATAAAATAAATCCAAAAGTGTAGAAGAAAGAAAATCAATATGAAGGCTGAATTATTAAAATAGAAAGTAAGACAAACCATATAATAGAATTATCAAGTTATCCACAAACCGGTTTTTGGAATTATAAAATATTCCAGCAGAATAGATGAAACAACATTGGGGTTTTAAAAGTGGGTGTTAATGGATTTAGTAAAGAGTAAAAGATAATAAAAGAAGGTAACCTTTATTTCAAGTGGTTTGAAGTCAAAATGTGATGAAAATTTTTATTGAAAATTATAAATGATTATATTAGTAAGAGCCAAAGGAAGAAAAAACCCTAAATATGCCAGTTACCATAAAAACGAAACCTAATAGCAAAGTTATAACTAACCTAAAAAGTCCCAAGTGCTTATGTGATGGTTAATTTCAGGATATAAAAAAGACAGAAAACAAAGGCATTTTATGAGGCTAGGATACCACAAACTGACAAAAAAACTCTTGAAACAAATTAAATACTTGCAGATAAAACAAACATCCAATAACTGTTATCCAATTTTACTTATGGGAGGAAGTAAATTTAGATGTACATGTAGAGTTTTTACCAGGAGTGTAAAACTAATTGACATTAAAAAATCCATTAATGTAGTTGTCTAAATCAACAAATTAAAGGGGGAGGAGGAGTGAAATGAACAATCTGACCATCTCTTTATATGCTTGGCAAAATCCTCAATAAAATTATGCATATATTGATGAAGAAAACATCTTACCAATTTTGGTTTAGTTTAGCTATAACCAAGGTATAGGAAATACACTTGATAACAAAAAGTTAGAAGATGTAACGTTAAAATTAGGCACCAGAACAAGGGTGTCTGCAATTGCCATTACTGTTCAAAGTGGTACTTAAGTGGTACTTTCTAGCCTAGTGAGTAAATAAAAATAAAGGGTATAAAGGGTATAAAATGGTCATTATTTGCAAGTGTGTGTGTGTGATGTGCTGTTGAGACCCTCTGAATGAGCGCCACCCACAGTGTTCTGTCCTCAGCATCCCGCTCAGCCCCCGTGGACTCATGTCTATGGCTTCTTTTATGGAGCCAACCTATCTCATAGTTGGTCTTCCTTTTCCCCACTGCTTTCTCTTTTCTCTGCCTCACTGTCTTTCCCAAAGAACCCTGCCCTCTCACAGTGTGCCCCAAATAGAACAGCTTCAGTTTTGTCACTTTTGCCTCCAGCGCTGTTTCAGGCTTCATTGGCTCTTGGGCCGGGATGTTTGTCTTTCTGGCCGTCCAGGTGCTCATAGAGGTCTCCTCCAACACCGCATTTCCAGTGAATCACATTCCCGCCCGGGGCCTTCTGTGCTATCTAACTCTTGCGTCTGTGCATGTTACTGTAAGAGCCAGTTCTTGATGAGAAAGGAAGCACAGGGGAGACACTGCTGGGTGTGGTCAGCTGGGAAGCTGAGGCCTGTTTACAGCTTCAGACTGTCCCCCAGAGAGCCGCTAGTCCACTCCCCACAGGTCACTGGGGCGAGGGATGGAGCAAAGGGAGGAGCAAACACATGTGCAGCACAGCAAAACCTCCACATCACGGACTGTTCAGGCCTGGGGTGCCCATTCAAGCTGAAAGACCATTATATAATAGAGTAGGTTTTCCAATGCACATGTTAAAAAATTGACAAATTAGTTTACTCGTTTTTACTTACATATACATTGTTGTGTAATTAAAATTAAGTATGTATGAAAAGTTTAATTTTACAGAAAAGTGTTCTATATGTATTACTGTAATTTTTCCTTTTGTTGTTAATCCTCACCTAAGGATATTTTTCCATTGATTTTTAGAGAGAATGGAAGGGAGAGGGAGAGACAGAGAGAAACATCGATGTGAGAGAGACACATCAATTGGTTGTCTCCTACACGCACCCTGACCCAGGCCGGGGAACCTGCAACCAAGGTATGTGCCCTTGACCGGAATCGAGCCCAGGACCCTTCAGTCCACAGGCCAATGCTCTATCCACTAAGCCAAACTGGCTAGGACAGTATTACTGTAATTTTAAATTTATACTGAGTAGGTCTAGTAAATGCATTTGTTTACAAGTCACCTTGAGGGAAAACATGCACATGGTTGGGGCATGGTTTAGCACATGTCTGAACGTCAGCCAGCATGTGACAAACTGCTGCAGAAAGTCACGCCACGTGACAACAGAGCCAATTACTGCTCCTGATGTGGTGTGATCACATGCCAATAATTTGTGAGCCTTGTTTATGAGCGCTGACTCTTGGATTTAAATATGTAGGCTCTAGTTGTTGATATGTAATATTTATTTATGTCAGCGAAATTATTAGTGTGTTTTCCAACATATGGCCTATTCACTAAAATTTGTTAAAAATAACAGTGAGTTAACACAAAAATAACCTGTTAATTCAATTATAAGCAAATCTTGGTTAAAAGCATTTTAAAATTAACAGGGTGTTCATGTTCACATGTGATATATGGACTGGAAATTTTATCCATTAAATCTGAAGTCTTTTAAATCGAGGTCCAAAAAATCGAGGGTTTACTGGAAAGTCAAAATGTTGTGGGGAAGTGGAAGACTAAGCTTTAATGTGAAGCAGAAACTCTGGGCACTGGTTTTTATTTTGCCCCGCAAGACATGATGGGGCTTTTACTATGGTGAGAAGGAGGGAGAAGAGAAACTGGGAAACCAGGAGGGAAACTCCTTTGATTTTGTATCACAAATAAGCCACCTTGCCACATCACAATCTCCCATGCGTGGGTCCTTGAGTTGCTTTTCTCTGGATCCCATGGATGAGCCTCATTCCCACACACAGAATACATAGTAATTGGGAATAAGAAGATGATCTCTAATGGCACACCTTTACTCTTGGTGATCTTTCCTAATTCTTCTGTTGCTGCCCTTTTATTGCTCAGTCTTCTCGTGATTTCTCTGCCACAGTCTCCATTATTTTGCATATGATATAATATGCATATTTTATATAATATAATTGGATCTACTTCCCTGTAAAACAGATTAAATAATAGGGATTAATATAAAAAAGAATTCATGCTGTCTCAAAGAGTAAGAGATCCTTCCTTTTACTGCTGCATAGTATTCCCTGGTGTAAATGTACCACAGCCTTTTTATCTACTCATCTACCGATGGGCACTTGGGCTGTTTCCAGATCTTAGCTATTGTAAAGTGGAGAGTATTATGCTAAGCAAAATCAGCCAGTCAGAGAAATACAAGTATCACATGATCTCACTCATATGTGGAATCTAATGATCAAAATAAACTGATGAACAAAATAGATCTAGAGACATGGAACCATGGAACAGACTGTCGAATCTTAGCGGGAAGGTGGAGGTGAGTGGGTGGGTGGGAAGAGATGAACCAAAGAACTTATATGCATATATGAATAGCCCATGGACACAGACAACAGGATGGTGAAGGCCTGTGGAGAGGGGCAGGGGCGGGCCAGAAGGAGTCAATGGGGGACAAAAGGGGACATATGTAATACCTTCAGCAATAAAGATTTAAAGATTAAAAAAATAATTCAGCTATTTAGGTAAAAAAATCAGCATATTAAATAAATAAAATAATACTAAATCACTAAATTATCTATTGGATCCCACTTACCAAAATGATGTCCAGCAAAAACAAAACAAAACAAAAGGGAGAAAGCCTTTAATGGCAGAAAACCAAGAGGAGTTATTTATGACATATAAAGATGGAAAATGAATATGTTACATTTTTGTTGATTTTATTCCTTCTATTTATTATTTTTGGTGTTTTTGTGATTGCATGAAGATCCATTTATTTAGATCTTTAATTTCTCTCAGCAATCTTTTCTTAAAAATATATTTTATGGACTTTTTACAGAGAGGAAGGGAGAGGGACAGAGAGTTAGAAACATTAATGAAAGAGAAACAACAATCAGCTGCCTCCTGCATGCCCCCTACTGGGGAGTGAGCCATCAACCAAGGTACATACCCTTGATCAGAATCGAACCCAGTACCCTTCAGTCCACAGGCTGATGCTCTATCCACTGAGCCAAACCAGTTAGGGCTCAGCAATCTTTTTTAGTTTTCACTGTACATGTCTTGTATTACTTTTAATAAAATAATTTTAATTTATTAAAATTAATAAATTAAATGGGGTTGAGGGGGGTGAGCTAGAAGGGGTCAATGGGGAAAAAAGGAGGCACGTGTAATACTTTCAACACTAAAGATTTAGTTAAAAATGTATTTTATTCTTTTTGAGGCTTCTGTAAATGAAATTTATTTTCTTATTTTAACGTTATTTATTGTTAATATATAAAAATGTAATGTGTTTGGTATATTTATCTTGCATCCTGTTAGCAATGCATTGTACATTTCAATCCAGAATTTTTCTTGTTAAATATATGTTATAT